AAGAAGCTCCGGGTGGGAGCTTCTAGCTTGGAGTGCCAAAGGGGCTGCCCCTGAAGTTTTGGCTCGGGGGAACCAAGCTCCTTTCTGCTCCGAAGGTCCCGCTGTCCCGAGGCCAGCAATGGTGCTCAGAGACGTTACTGGACCAGAGCATACAAGGACTTAAACAACAAGAATCTATCTATGTGGTGAAGCGATCCAGAAATTTAAAGAAACGAATTTAATTTTCAGAAAGAAAGACATTTGCAAGAGGGGGGTGGAACAAATACTGAAATAGTTAAACGGCACAGCACCATGCAGAAAGGGGGGATTCGCAGAGGAAGAACCCTATCCGTTGTGAAATCACAACAAAAAATAGAAGCATGTCAGATTTAAGCTATTAAAAACCCACCCTCTGCCTCTGGACCCCATTTTCCCCCCTCGCTGAGACATTGTTTATGTTTTGCCAGAGAAAAAGGATGAGAATTTAAGAGAAATCATAAGTGAAGCTATGGCCCCCCTGATTAATCGCAAACCTGAAATGATAAAAGCAGATATTGATATGATTTACAGAACCTATTCAGAGTTTGTAAAAAAAATAACCTCCCAGGGGAAATTGTGAAATTTGCAAAAAGATCAACAAGAGACTTAATACTTAAAGCTTCTATTGCTACAACAATTAAAATTCAAGAAGAGGAGATAAAAATATTGAAAAATGTTCCATATGAAATACGGGGGGAAAGGAAGCAATATAGAAATATGACGGCTTTTCTTTAAAAAAAAAAAAAGTCCAGTATAGATGGATTCTTCCAGAAGGACTTATTTTCAACTTTAATTAGAAGAAGGAAAATATTGACTCTTTATTAAAAGCAGAACTATTTCTTAAGCAACAACAGACCCCATCTAAACAAAGAAATGGAGCAGAGGAAGATAAGGCAACGGAGAAGAGCAGCGAACAACAAAAATCGGATTCAGACAGTTCATCCTCTACAGCTTCTTCTGTGTCTTTGGGTGAAATCTTTGACTCTGACTCTGATTTGGACTTGGGGGCTGCGACTCCCAAAACCTTTAAAGTTAATTTCCCCTGGCAGAAGAAGAAAAAAAAAATAAAGATAAGAAGAAATCTAAGTGAAGGTCTGAGATTGTCTGTGTTGGCATTTAACGACTTTATATTAATATCCAGATGTGATAATAATCAACAAGATTTTTTGATCTTTCTTTTAGAAATTAAATAACTGAATGTAATCACAAATACGTAGATAAATACCCAAAGCACATGAATAGTATATCAAAGTGCCTTGTTACTCTTTTTTGTAGTTTTTTTAGGCTTTGTAGTTATTAGTTTTGTAGTATGTAGTAGAAAATCAATAAAAATTTATTGAAAAAATAAAGAGAGAGGGGGAGAAGGAAGCAGACTAGAACCAGTTGCTTGCGGGCTGCAAATGCTCCAGGCATTTATATAGTTTCACTCCTGAGTACATTCTTTTCCTACTCTATAGGCATCTCCATAGTTTGTCCCCTATGTGAATCCTTTGATAGGAAGTAAGAATTCCACTCTTACTGAAGCTTTTCCCACATTCCAAGCATTTATATGGTTTCTTCCTTGTGTGAATCCTTTGATGGGAAGTAAGGTTAAAACTCTGCCTAAAGCTTTTCCCACATTCCAGGCATTTATATGGTTTCTCTCGTGTGCGAATCCTTTGATGGGAAGTAAGTTTTCCATGGTCCATGAAACTTTTCCCACACTCCAGGCATTTATATAATTTCTCCCCCATGTGAATTCTTTTTAATTTTTTTTATTATTTTGAACGATAACATCAACATATTAAACCATAACATAGTACATTGAATTATGCTTATTTTGATATTGAATACATATACTTACTCATGTACATGAGTAAACCGATATCAGTGTACATTAAACATATTACACAATGAAGCAGTGAGACTCACTGCAATATGTAAATATAGTCAAAACATAACTAAAACAGTTTTTAACTAAAGGAAATGCTTTGTTAATTGATATTTAATACTGCTCACTTACAGAAATAAAAAGTTTATAAATTAGAATAACCTCTATCCAATTCAAAATAATATATCAAATCCATTTTTCAAATTGGGACCATTCAGAGGAAATAAATTGCTGCTGAGATAAGTATTCGAACACCGGGTACCACTTTCCAACAAACATCTCTTGCTTTGAATTTTGATGGGTAACAGTTTGTTATTAACTGCATCCATAAGATAATGGTTCCACAATTTACGGAACCAGACTTCAATCGTTGGTGCTTTAGTGTCTTTCCAAAAAGTCACTATTGTGGTTTTGGCAGAATCCAGCATGACCTCAATAGTAGCTTTATGTGGTCTTTCTATTAAATCTTGTGGCCATGTGTTTAGAAATAAAACTTCTGGTGTACATGGTACTTTTACCACAGTGACTTCTTCAATGATCCTTATAATTTCTAACCAAAAGGATTTAACTTTTATACACCCCCACCAACAACGGGCAAAGTCACCTATTTGTTTACAATCTTTCCAACACCTCGGAGAGATTGTTGATGATACGTGTGAAAGTTTCTGGGGGGTCGCGTACCATCTTGTCATAAGTTTTAGATTTTGAAATCGAATTGCCATAGAGGTGGTACAGAAGCTAGTAGAATTCCAAAATTTGGTTCTATGTCTTCATTAAGGATTGTTGCACAGTCTTTCTGCTTGGCAGATTGATATTGCAGATTTGGTGCACTGGATTGTTGATTCAATAATGAATAAATTTTAGAGATCAGTCCTCTGTTTATCCCATCTGAATCTTGGATCAGACATTCTAATTTCGTTAATGGCTGTGACATCAGCTTAATTATATCAAAAGAATTTACTAAGTGACTCAATTGTAAGAAGAGAAACCAGGGTATAGTTTGGCCCAAATTCCGGTCTAGTACTGCCTTACTCTTCACTCCTTGTTTATTGGCAATATCTACAATGTGAGATATGTTTTTACTTTTCCATTGCTTTACAAAATTAGGGTCAGTGCCAGGTATAAACTATTTCTGGTTGAGAAATGACGTGTATCTAGATATCTTGGGTAGGAAAGATTGAGTGTGCTGCTTCCAGCTTTGAACAGCCAGGTAAAGTACTGTTATGGTGTCTCTTGATTCAGGGGAAATATTTCCACGAGTCCATACCATGTCTGCTAAAGAATGTGGGGACAACAAATCATCACAAATTTCTACCCAATCCGGTCTTTTGGAAGATCGTAACATTTTAAGTGTAATGGCCAGTAAGATCGCTCTATTATATAACACCAAATCCGGTAAGGCGAACTCCCCCATTGATCTAGGCCTCTTTAGGATAGACAAACTTATTCTGGGTTTTTTCTTATCCCATAAAAATTGGGTCAAAGTGGTTTGCCACCGTTTACAAATTGCAAGTGGAATAGCTTGTGGGATTGTCCTAAATAAAAAAATAAATTTAGGTAAAATAAAGGATTTAATTAGATTAAATCTTTCAATCTAGTTTATGTTTAACTTATTCCATTTGTGTATTATGTTGATCAATTCAGAATGCATCATGTGATGATTAAGTGTCGCAACTCATCCTGAACAAGCGGGATCTGGATACCTAGATACGTTACCTAGATACAGTCTGGATTTTTTGAACAATAGAAACCTCTTTCGATATTTATGTAATGTCTTTACCCTTATTTAAATCTGTAAGTTTTTGTTTAATTACAATCTTAATTGATTCAAAGAAGTTCTAACACTGGATTAAAATCTACTCTATAAATTGTGTGTATTTTAAAAAAATTAATTATATCTTAAAAACTTTTAAAATTCCAATAAATTTGTTATGCAGAATCAACAATAAACAGTACAATTAATTGATCTTTCTTTCCTTCTAAAACTAAATATCAAAGGTTAAAAACTGTTTTATGAATTTCAAAAATTTATATACTTTCCTTGTTGATTCTCAAGACTCCTGCAAACACCAAAAGTTTTTCAGGAGACCAGGTTTTTAAAACCCAGTTAATACTTTGAGAACCTAGTGTTTGAGTGAAGCTGAACTACAGCCACTCATCCAGGACTTCCTCCTCTCTTCAAACATAATATATAAAAATATCTAAGCAAACAACTGTATTGCTACTTTAATATAAGCTTGAACAGCAAACCAATTTACATAGTTATCTCTAACCACACAGAGATCAGTAACCTTCTGAGTTAAAATTCTCTACATTGCTCACACTACCAAAAATTCACGTTTCATCTAATTTTATATGTTTAGTTTTAACTTCTATATTTTCCCTCAAACTTATGGGCATACACTAGCTTTTATAACAAAAATTATCCATACAACTCTAATGCCACACAATCTGTATGTAGTCTGCATCTCCCCTTTCCCTGTCAGGTAGTACTCATGTCTCTGAGCGGACAATCTTGTTTGGCTCCAATGGCGGTGGTGATGATGCTTCTAGCCTTCTTTTTAGTGACTTTAGTGTAATGTCCATTGGGACTTTAAGATTTAACATCCGAAGCAGCTGCTTTCCTTCTTCCAGCGACGTGATTTGATGATTCTTGCCCATGTGTTTAAGCTGTAAGATGAAGGGTGAGATCCACTTGTACCTCTTGTTAGCTTCAATAAGTCGCACTGTTATGGGTTTTAGCTCGCACCTTTTCTCTAGAGCTTCTGGTGGCAAGTCCTGATAGATTTCAACTTTTCCTCCTTTATAAATGAGGTATCCTATTTCCCTTGCTTTTTGCAGAATCTTTTGTTTAAATCTTAAGTCTAAAACTGTAAACAGAATATCTCTAGACGATCGGTTCTTCAGTGCTTTAAGTGTTTCCAGCCGATATGCCTTGGTTACTGCTGGCAGGATGTCGTCTTCGAGTTGTACTTCTTTAGTCAGCCATTTTGATAGGAACGTTGTGAGATTTTCCGGATCCTCCACGTTCTCCTCTAGCCCCCGAATTTTTAAATTATTCTGTCTCATAGAGAGATCTATTTTTAACGCTCTTTCTGCGATTGCATCTTCACTCTAATGTATTTCACGTATAGCATTTTGATTTAGTATGGTGTTAGTTATCACGGTTTCGGCAATGCCTTTTGTTTCTCTGATACTTTTCTGCATTATTCTAACTGGTCATATATAGGTTTCAGCATTGTGGATTAACTGTCTAGCATTGTCTTTTGATTTTCAACAAACGCCGCTGCTAGGTAGGCAGTTGTGACAGGGGCATTTTGTTTTTCTGCATCAGTATTGGTCAGCGCCATTTTGGCAGTTATTAAGCGGCACTGCGCTGGCAGAAACGATCCCAATGCTGTGTTTATTTTTACTTGTACCTTACTGTTTTTGATATTTTTGTGTTGAGGAAGTGTTTCTCTTTCTGTCTCCATACACTGTTCCTGTTAATCTCTCAGTTTGTTTGCTTGGTGATTAGAAGAGGGGAGGTTATCCTCGGAGCGGTAGATTCAGGCGGCCATTTTCAAATTGGCATCGCCATGCCCCCCCATGTGAATTCTTTCATGGGAAGTAAGGCTTCCCCTCACCCTGAAGCTTTTTCAACAATACAATGATCTATATGGCATCTCCCCGTGTGAATCCTTTGATGGAAAGTAAAATGTCCACTCTGGTTAAAACTTTTCCCACACTCCAGGAATTTATATGATTTTTAACCTGTTTGGATTTTTTCATGGGAAGCAAGGTTGCCTCTCGGACTGAAGCTTTTCCCACACTCCAGGCATTTATACAGCTTTTCCCATGTGAATTCTTTGATGGGAAGTAAGGTGATTACTCTTCCTGAAGCTTTTCCCACACTCCAGGCATTTATATGGTTTTTCACCTGTGTGAATTCTCCGATGAGAAGTAAGGTTTCCATGTACAGTGAAGCTTCTCCCACACTCTAGGCATTTATAAGGTTTCTCCCCTCTGTGAATTCTTTTATGAGCATGAAAATTCCCACCTTGTGTGAAGCTTTTCCCACATGCTAGGCATTTATATGGTTTCTCCCCTGTGTGAATTCTTTCATGGGAAGCAAGGCTTCCACTGTTCCTGAAGCTTTTCCCACATTGCAGGCATCTATACGGCTTCTCCCCCATGTGAATTCTTTTATGGCTTGTAAGGCTGTCCCTCACTCTGAAGCTTTTCCCACATTCCATGCATTTATATGGCTTCTCCCCTGTGTGAATTCTTTGATGGGAAGCAAGACTTCCTCCCTGACTGAAGCTTTTCCCACACTCCAGGCACTGATATGGTTTCTCTCCTGTGTGAATCCTTTGATGACAAGCAAGGCCTCCACTCTGAGTGAAGCTTTTCCCACACTGCAGGCATTTATATGGTTTCTCCCCTCTATGAATTCTTTGATGGGGAATAAGTTCCGCACTCCATCTGAAGCTTTTCCCACACTCTAAACATTTATATCGTTTCTCCCCTCTGTGAACTTTCTGATGAGAAGAAAGGTGTCCACCACTGCTGAAGCTTTTTCCACATTCCTTGCATTTATATGGTTTCTGCCCTGTGTGAATTCTTCGATGGACATTAAGGTTTCCACTCCGACTGAAGCTTTTCCCACACTCCAAGCATTTATATGGTTTCTCCCCTGTATGAATTCTTTGATGGCAAGTAAGGCTTTTATGGTCACTTAACATTTTCCCACACTCCAGGCATTTATATGGTTTCTCCCCTGTGTGAACTTTTTGATGATAAGCAAGGTTTCCACTCTGACTGAAGTCTTTTCCACACTCCAGGCATTTATATGGTTTGTCTCCTGTGTGAATTCTTTTGTGGGAAGCAAGGTTTCCACTCTGACTAAAGCTTTTTCCACATTCAAGGCATTTATGTGGTTTTTCCCCTGTGTGAATTCTTTGATGGTAGGAAAGGTGCCCACTCTGACTGAAGGTTTTCCCACACTCTGGGCATTTATATGGTTTCTCCCCTTTGTGCATTCTTTGATGGGAAGTTAGTATATATTTTCGGCTAAAGCTTTTCCCGCAATCCAGGCATTTATATATTTTCCTTTTTTCATTGGAGTTCCTTTGAATATTAATAATTTCTCTGCTTCGAGTACACATATTCCCATTTTTTCCATTGCATATTTTTTTCTGTACAGAGTCACTGCCCTGTAAAAGACCAGAAGTATTTCTCCCTTTATATGGATGCTTTCCCTCCTTGTTCCTCTGGGCATCACTATATTCACGTTTGTCTTTCATGTCTGAATATGTATCCATTTTCTTTATCCAGAGGTGCTCAGGTGGTTCATCTGCTGATTCCGACACTACTCCTGCTAAAAGAAAGAAAAACCATTTGTGATGATGACCTTGTGTGGTGATGAATAAAAAACTGGGGTAATTTTAAACTGAACAATTAATCTGGAACCAATAGCTTACTTTGGCCTTTGTCTCTATACATTTCAGAGATAATTGAAACGGTGAGTTTTTACATACTGGATTTTCTTATGCTCAGATGAGTTAGTCTTGTGGAGTTCAATGGTTTGTTTTTTGTGCCTCCATTTCATGCCACACTGTATAATATACAGTGCTCTTTCTGAAACTGTTGCCATTTTGGACTCTGCACTTGAACAAAGCCTCATTCTCTGGCTCCTGCAGTGTGGAGAATCTCTCTTAACAACTTGGGTTTCAAGAACTTTCCCCTCTCTCCACCTTGGCAGCTGTAAAGGGGAGATTCTGATACTATTAAGGAGAGTCTGTTTCAGGCAAGCAGACTGTGAGCCTCTTAGAGGCCTAGGGTGGTAGATGTGAGAAACAAGAAAGAGGACTGGAGTGGGACAAAGGCTGGATGCAGGGGAACTCCTTGCTGAGGTCTAGCCTCTTGAGACCATTGCAAGCAGCATAAATCCCGCATTGCCAGTGGCAAAAAAGAGCCCACAGGGTCATTTCACCACAGTTTCCCCCACCAGTGCTGGAACGACCCATCCTCAGAAGGGCACCCCACCATCCCCTCTCCCAGTATGCTAAAAGAACAGTGCCCCCCCCCCAAGGGCTTTAGACCCAGCAACTGTCCTCCCCTTTTCTTAGCAAGTAAAGTTGGGAAGACAGCCGGAATGGTAAAAACTAAAGGATCGAGTTTACATTCAAAAAGAGAATGAAGAATTCATTCTCAATTCACACTGAGATGCACCAAGAGGGACTGAAGGGAGAAGCACTCCTGCCTCCCAGTGGGGGAATCTGCTGTGGAGCCCCGCCCCCTTCCAAGACCCCTTCTGCACCTTTCATGGCATATTAAATCAGCTTCCCGGCTGACTGCTCCGGACAGCTGTCAGAAGAGACAAATCCTAGGTATGGTTTAAAATACACGGGGACAGCCAGGATTTCTTCTGGAAGAGGCTGGATTCTATACTGGCGCAATGAATTTGCCAGAGACTTCAGAATAACTTAGAATGCTGTTCTCTGTGTGCAGCAAGGAAACGGCAGGAACCCACAAGCCCACGAAAGATACCTGAGCAGCGACCTGTCAATCCCTCCTCTTCATCCGCGGTCAGAAGAAACGGTTCTTCCTCTTCTTCCAGCCGGGATATGAGATCAGGTTTGGCAATCGGAGGTCCTTTTGATCAGGGAAAAACACACACAAAATTATAACTTAATGTGCCTGCACATCAATTCAGCCATTCCAGGCAGAATTTGTCTCTCCAGATATACACAACAGGGAAATAATAGGGGTGGGGTGGAGTCAGGCTAGGAGCCAGAATTTTTTGGTTTGGGGGGAATTTTTTTTCTTCTGGGGCAGCCATTTTTTCTCTTTGAAAAAATTAATTGCAGCTCTTCAAACATGAACTGTATTTTTAGGCACCTTAACACTATCTGTAGCCAGTGTCTCTTATGGGGGAGAAATGAGGGAGGATTCCCCCCCCCCCCCACACACACACAAGAAGCACCAGGCAAGCCAAGTGTGGAGCCGCCAGCAGATCACCATTCTGGGCATCAAGTCGACTGCTTCTGATCCAGGACCTCATCCTGTTTCCACTGGCCAGACAGCCGTGGAACCCCCAAGACGGGCAGAAAAGTGGGTCCCTCCTAGGACGTGGATTCTGTGGCTCAGATAACACCCGGGGTAGAATCCAGAAGGCATCGGGGCGTGAGACTGGCCGAGGCGCCCCAAGTCAGTGCCTCACTTTGAGGCGCGCTCCTTCAGCCGTGGGCTCGGCAGCCACCCTTCCTCCAGCAGAGTGCCAAAGTGCCCCTATTGGCTGTGCAGCCCACTGAGCTCCGCCTGGCTAGGCTGTCTCTTGGCAGCCACCTGCTCTGACCTCTCCCCAGCCAGCCAGCCAGCCCTCTGTCCAGGTCAGCTGGTGGGACACCCAAGCCGGCCGGAGGAGGCAGGGGCTGAGGCCAGAGTGGGAATGACGTCCCTCGGCCTCTCTCCCTCCCTCCTTGGCTTTGTTCCTCCCTCCCACATCTATCACCGCTGTCACCACCTGACGAGTGCTGCCCTGAGCCCCACAAGGGCTCTGCCTGCCACCAGTGGTGGGAAAGCTAAGGTGCTCCAGCCAAGCGACGGACTTCCCAGTAGACGCAGGTGGGTGTGCCCTGGTGCGGGCCCCACTTGGCACTCCCCAATATTAAAAAACATTATTTCTAGCGAGGCCTTGTGGGGCCTGGCTGATGCGTGCTGGGGCTGGGCCCCTGGGGGACCCCACCGTAGCTACGGGCCTGGGCGGAGTACAGTGTGGAGCAAGAAGAAGCAATATGGCGCTGGCATTTCTGTGCCAGCTGGAAGGGAAATGCCGACTGAGAACTAAGTAACGCAGCAGAGAAGCCAGCAGAGTCCCCTCCACAGCCCCATCCCAGCCCAGGTTAAGGGAAGGCTCAGACCCAAGCAGGAAGCCCCACCTTTAGACCGCCCCACCTTCTCCCCACCAAGCATCCCTTGGCCCACCTCAGAGGAAGGGTCGCGGAAGGTGGCTGAGATCAGCCATCGGGACCAGGGCAGACTCCCCGACCCCATCTTTCCTCAGTAACGACCACCTTACTCCTCACAATAAGAAGTCAGGGAAGAACAAAAGGACCCTCACCCAGAGAGGCCACGTTCCCAAAATTCTCCAGCATGACTTCCTTGTAGAGAGCTCTCTGGGCTGGGCGCAGCAGGGTCCACTGCCCCCGGGTGAAATACACGGCCACCTCTTCAAAGGACACCCCGCCCTGCAAGGAGGAGGAGGAAGCATTTATTTACAGGGAAAGCTGGTCCATGGGGGGGAAGCAAAAAACTGAGAGAGTTCATCCGTCGTGAGAGACCAGAAAAAAGAGGAAGAGAGAAGATTCACGATCTGAATCCTCCGTATGCATGTTAATCTAGGTATTCTTCCGTTGTTTCATCAGAGCCGTTAACAAGTGTAGTGATGTGAAAAAAACGAATTGTGTCATCGTTCCTGGGAAGAGCCGGGAATGAGGGAAGAGGAACACCCATTTTCTGTTTCTATCAGCTGGAGCCTGAGCAGAATGAGGGAAGTCTACGGCTGAGGGAGCTCTGTAAATTGGGTATTACCAACGCTCCCTCTAAGCTGTGGAGCCCTGTGAGCAAAAATGCTACTCTGTGAGCTACTGCCATTGAAGTTGTGGGCAAGCGATTTGGTTACTGCATAAATTAGTTTGTTCTGGAGCCATCCCTCCTGAGCTAAGACAAAAATCTGTGAGTTGGAGGCTAAAGCACTGTGAGCTAGCTCACACTAACTCAGCTTAGAGGGAACACTGCTTATTACCACAAAAATTTAAAGTTCCTCCCTCTCCCAAAATACTAGTACTTGAGGGCATCCGATGAAGCGGATGAGGACTAGGGTCAGGGCGCACAAAAGGAAACACTACTTTACACAGAGAACGATCAAAATGTGGAATTCGTTCACAGAAGACAGAGTGCCACAGGAAACAATAGCTTCAAAAGGAGATTAGATGGGTTCATGGAGGAGTCTCTCAATGGCTACTAGCCGTGGTGACTGAGGGGAACCTCCACATTTGGAGGCACTAATCCTCTGAACCCCAGAGCCAGGAGGCCACATCAGGGGAAGTCCCCAACCTCTGTGCCTTGTTGTTGGCCTTCCAGAAGAACTGGTAGGCCACTGTGTGAGACAGGATACTGGACTAGTTGGACCACTGGTTTAAGCATTCAACAGGGCTTGTCTTGTATTATTAAGTTTGCCGAGGGACTGAGAGTGTTTTAATATAAAGAGAGAAAGAACGCACTTTGAAACCACAAGGGTGCACTTGCCTCAGGCGCACAACACCTCGGGGCACAAAAAAAATGTGTAAGAACATAAGAACATAAGAGATGCCAATGTTGGATCAGGCCAAAGGCCCATCCAGTCCAACACTCTGTATCCCACAGTGGCCAGAAATACCAGTGCCATCAGGAGGTCCACCAGTGGGGCCAGGACATTAGAAGCCCTCCCACTGTTGACCCCCCCCCAAGCACCAAGATGACAGAGCATCACTTGCCCCAGAGTCCCTATCTATACCTTGTGGCTAATAGCCACTGATGGACCTCTGCTCCATATGCTTATCTAATTCCCTTTTGAAGCCGTCCATGCTTGTAGCTGCCACCACTTCCTGTGGCAGTGAATTCCAAGTGTTAATCACTCTTTGGGTGAAGAAGTACTTCCTTTTATCCGTTCTAACCCGACCGCTCAGCAATTTCATGGAGTGCCCACGGGTTCTTGTATTGTGAGAAAGGGAGAAAAGTACCTCTTTCTCTACCTGCTCTTTCCCATGCATAATCTTATAAACCTCAATCATGTCACCCCTCAGTCGTCGTTTCTCCAAGCTAAAGAGCCCTAAGCGCCTTAACCGTTCCTCATAGGGAAAGTGTTCCAACCCTTTTATCATTCGAGTTGCTCTTTTCTGCACTTTTTCCAAAGCTATAATATCCTTTTTAAGGTGTGGTGACCAGAATTGCACACAGTATTCCAGATGAGGTCGCACCATTGATTTATATAGCGGCATTATGATATTGGCTGATCTGTTTACAATACCC